TATATTAACAGCTTATTGAAAGTACTTCATCCCCTATAGCACAATCAATCAAGTGTGGTAAGTTGAAATACTATTACATGTCAGTAAGAGTATTTAAGAAGATTGTAGTATTTTCATAGTTGAATAGTTAAAACTAGACCATCATTTAAAACCTGGAATCACTGGACAGCCTTTTCTTTCTAATATGGGACTCCTCAGAAAGGTGCTTCCATAATTCCACACATGAGACTCGAACCCAGGAACTTCGATCTCATACGCGGACGCTTAACATCTAGACCACTGGGTCAAAATTCAATAGTATTCAAGTCTAACTTCAATCGATTCATAATCTTGCACAACCCTTCATCCAATATATAAGATGGATAATTGTCTCATATACGACACAAATTGGACTCCACTGGTCACAACTTCTCAGGAGTTACATCTTGAAGCTGATCCTTAGTAAGGATATGATTGTTATCGGTATAGGAATTTATGGCGATCGTAGTATTTTCACAGTTTAAATCACGAGTATTAATTGAAGTGCTTCCAAGTTTTCAATAGTGATCTAGCTTAGATTATGAAGCTACTACTTATATTGAACTATCTTATCATCTTACTAATGATAATCTTTTCTATCATTTATTTTAGGAATACTATCAGAAGCTACTTCCGTATAGGAATATAAAACTGTATTACATTTAAGAAAATATTACCTAAACCCTAATATAAACCATAGAATCCCTTACATTTATTCATCTTTAAGTCTGTTCAATTTTGGTTCTTTTATATTCTCAATGTTTGTTATTCAATTGTGTAGTTGATATATAAAACGTTACCCTGATATAGTTTACATTGATACATAACTATACTGATTAAATAAACTATTTTGATAAAATAATTTGGTCTACATTTGAACAATCAACTTCATAGTTGTTAGATATTGAGTTCATGATAGACAGTGAAAAGGGAACTCTTTAAAGATTATAACTGGAACAACTTCACCATTTTATTCAACAGAATGTCCTCAGATTCAATTTGATGTTCACTTGAAGATTAGAACTCAACATCTTACAAATGGAATATTTTACGTATTATCTAACCAAATTATCCGTCAATTAGGTCACTGAATATCAAACAGATCATCGATCCTCGTCAAGGTCAAAGACAACCAACGTGCATTATTTAATTGTATGTTATGAACTGGAGCATGCGATGGTGTTCGCTCTATCTTCACTGTGCTCATTCTTACTAATATATTTCCATAATAACATTCTTTATGTTATACGGTGTTTAAAGCAGCCATAGTACTTTGATACGTCGAAAGAGTAGTCCACGTGAGATGCTGACAGCGAGGTGTGATTTCAAATTTAACTGGTTCATCATACCATTTCCGTCTAACTCGAGTAGACCTACAATAATTCGACATAGATCTTCGACGTTGGTGATTTACCATATGATTCACTTGATGTAAAATGTGAATATGTATACAGATCTGATATGAAAGAAATCACCAATCATATTTGACTATAGACAAGATATCATAGCTACTGAATGTGATTGTGAAGCAACAAAACATTGCGTGAAGCATATTTTTAAAGCTTCAGAAGTCCATGGAAAAGAAGAAAACTGGTCGGTCACTTCACAACATTCAGTAAAATATATATATATCATTATTTCAGAGTCTCAGTTTCAAGAAGATTTTTCATTTAAATTAAATAACATTCAATCGATAGTGGTCATGTAGTAGATGGAAATAGATCATCTAAAGTGATTTATCGTATTTCTACTAGTTATTCTTATGGGGTTCGATCTCGTCTGTTTTACATAGGAGAAGCTATGGGAATTTGAGCTAACACCCTCATCTGTCCCTAGACCTTAATAAATGATCTTCTTTATCATTATATTGCATACTCCTTGTTCGTTTACTTTACTTCACTCCATCCCATCCTTTTACTTTGCACGAATATACTTTTCATAGTCCAGTTCAGGATGTTCGTTTCGTCCTATTTGAGACTCGTCAGCTGGATGTACCTGCATTCAGGAGTTGATGGTCACTCTGAGACTCGAACCCGGCACCACTGGCTTCAAACATCATCACGTTATTCACATAGGTACTGAGTCCTGAAGTTAAAATTCACTTGATGTTGTTTTACTTGTATTTTATCATTGTTATTTACGACTGCAATTGATCAATCTCCTGTTGGCATAGATGCATTCAGTACGGATTGCCTTGATATAATCTTAAGTCACAGGCTATTTAAGCAAAGATGAATGCAAGTACATCCAGCTGACGAGTCTAAAAAAAACCGAACGTGCATCCTGGATCCCACTGCTTGTCAATATCCACCTTTGCTTAAAAAAGATTGAATACGTTTGATTTAAAGAAGTGAAATAAGTAGTAAATTGTGATTAGTCAGATAATTAATCTTTGTAATATATTAAGGTCTTTCATTGAATGTGTATTTGTATGATCACTAACACGTATAAGAAATAAAGAATAAGACTCGGTGAAATTATAATTTATGGACTAACCAATCAGATCTAAGTTAACGCGTCTTGGATTTTGGCACGAAATTCATTCACCCATTTGGCTAAATATAGAATCCTGGCATTATGGCTGATATCAGTTCGTGATGAAAACCCTATATCTAATTCCTAACCCTAACCATCAACTGTAAACCATAATCCTTCTTCTCCATCTGCTTTATAACCCTTATTTAGCCCTAGTGAGTACGTTGACAACCTCAAGGTCATGTCAGCGTAACTCAAAGGTCGTCCATAAATTATAGTTTCACAGAAGACCCTATTCGAAATTCGACTTATATATAACTAGTAACTTTTCAGTGAGTAGATTTTTGTGTAATAAATAATCAAATGGAATAGTTTCAAAGTAGTTCTGTGATGGGAAACAGATTTGAACTGTCTATTAGTTTACTTTATGGGGTTCGACCTCTCTCATTATTACATATCAGAAGCTATAAGAATTCGAGTAAACAATCCAAGTTTTTGTGTTGATAAGAAACTTGTAACACTTTTATCTCTTCCTTGGCCTTAATTAATGATTCCATTTATCATTATTTTCAATACTGCATGTTCGTTTAATTTTCATCACCCCCTCTCATCCCTTTTCGTTTTCACGAATATACTTTTCACAGTCTAACTTTCTGATCACTTCTCATTACGTAATCTTGTAATGATTTTGATGAATGTTATTTCAGTGTCTAATCATTGACCTACATCCCATTATGTAACATTGATCGATTCAAGCCTTTATTATTCTTATCACAACTAGTACACTTGTCATTACACTATCATTGAATGTAATCTATTCCACTGTTATCATCATTGACTCTTGAACTGCTTTCATTCGTTTAATAATTCGTATATTATTGTATATAAGATTGAAGATTGATGAGGATCGTAGGTGGGTTTTCGACATGAATCAAATTGTTTTCCATGTTAAATCTGCTCAGTTCAAAAGAACTGCATATTGCATACATACTAAACAAACTTTGTATAAACCTCCAAGTCCATGTGTGGATTTTTATTCTGATGTATTTCCAAAGTATTGCATAACTCGTTTCATTCTTGATGCTTTTACAAGTGAATTGATGTATGATGTCATTCTACTCAATCAGTGTAAAGCTAATGAAAACATGGTTTCATGGTAGACAAGTTATGTCTCACAGTGAAATCTAGATCGTGGGTTTTACTTTATTTTGAAATTGTCAGCTGAATGTAACTACATCTCAGTGTGGATATTTGGATCGACTCTAAATCAGAACAATACACATGAAATATATGGTAATATATATGCATCAAACAAATCATTTGATTTGTGTGTGGGCTATGATACAGCCTTGGTTCCCAGACTGAAGCAGGTTGTCGTCTTAGAGAGTCCCACTCTGAATCTTCGAGATGAACGTCTGAACCACATGGCAGTGGAGCTACATCAGGAGATGCAGTCACATGGTATTTCTCGATAACTGACATACATTATTTGAAAATAAAGAATATATGCCAATACATTCAGTGAACTGATTGTGCTTGATACGAAATATTCATATTGTGTAGTAAATGTTTAGCTGTTTATCATATCTAGTCACTTCTCTAGAGAGTAAGCAAACGCATTTATGTCGTCAAAAATATACGTTAATAGTCACAAAACTACTGTCGTGAACGAGAATCGAAGTGCGAACAATCTAATGCATTTGAATAATGAAATACAGAATATCTTAGTAAAATCTTAGAATCAATCGTCTCAGATTTCACTGATCCTTCATTTCTGCAGCAAACATTCCCTGTTCTCCTACTCTTTTCTTTGATCTTCTTAACCTTCTGCTGCCGGGTCCTCCCCTTTCGAATAATGATACATACTACTTATATCTATCGACATCAGTAGAACAAAGAACACTTCTACGAAACTGCGTCTTTAGTCCATTCAATAAGTCATATAGATCTTGCATGTAAAAGAGAGCATTATATAATGACTTCTATAGGAAGATAATGTTGTCTGAATTGTTAAAATGTCAATAAAATGAAAGTTCACTCAAACACGTAACTTAGATCTTTGACTGAATGTGTTTATGGCATTAAATCTGTAGCCATATTTCGTAATCTATTTCTCAGTAACCAACTGAGATGGTGGAGAAGCTTTGTAGGTCAGGTGGATGATTTTGGTGGAGTTTTGTTCTCTGAGCTATGACATCATCTGCACAATCTTCAGGTAGAAGTCTTCTACCTGATGATACTCCACGACAAATTCATCCAGTTCAGAGAACAAAATTCCTCTAAAATTAGTAACTAATTACTAGCATCATCATCATCATCATCATCATGAAATCATTGATATTGTTTAGACAGGGTGTAGTGTGTTATGACACAAAATACGCCTTTTTTTCATCATTTGTAAATCCAATAAAAACATATATCTGAATGATATAATACGATAATCAATCTTGACGAAGTGACTTTATATATATACATGCAAAATAATTGAATTTACTGACTCAGATCCCGTGAAATGTTGATTATCTACATTCTAATTCCACTGATTTTATTACGTTCATGTCAGTCAGGATCATCATCCAAATCACCTAACTGCACTGGTATGTTTGAAGATATCAGGATTCTCCTCTGAGTATAGTGAATACATGTACAATTGGAAGTTAAGCATTTCGTTATGATAAGAGATATATTTGTAATCTGTAACATATCAAGATATAAGTAACAAGCATATACTGATGATGTTTACACTTATAGAGACACCGTAAGTCTATCATTCGCTATTGTGTTTAACAATCACATAAGGGCTTACATGTATAGAATAATAGCTAATTTATTATACCTAAGCTGTAACAATTAAATTCATAATCTGCCAATTTAGTCTATCGATCTCATTTAATCAAGTATTACCTGAGAAGTATGATCGATAAGGAAGAAGGATTTGATGCAGACGTAAAGGCAAAAAGTGACAAAGCAAGAATAGTATTCCTACAGTTAGAGAATATATGTAATTCGAAACAATTGTCAACCAACATCAAAAAACAAATACTTCAATACAAACGTCAAAACAGTCCTAATGTACGGAGCTGAAACGTGGAGAACTACCACAACCATTAACATGAAGGTACAAGTATTTATAAATAGTTGTCTACACAAGATACTCAATATTCTTTGACTGAAAGTCTACTGTGGTATAGAACAAACCAGGTTCTAACTGAGGAGGAAACTAGGAAAAGATAATGAAAGTGGATCGGACATACATTACAGAAATCACCAAACCAAGCGCTAACTAGTGATCCTGAAAGGAAACGCAGAAGTAAAAGGCTAAACAACACACAGCGTTTTGAATCGGAATAAAATATGAAAAGGATGTATAGCAACTAGAAACAACTGGAAAGGTTGACTCAGGACATAGTTGAATGGAGAATGTTAGTGGGCAGCCTATGCTCCTTGACGAAGGGTAACCGGTGTAAGTTAATAAGTAAGTAATTAACCAAGTAGTTATTTATTGAAATCATATATTCGGTCATAATATCAATTTCATCAAAAAAAGTGATTTCCATGAAGATTGGACGTATTGTTTCACATTCAATGATAATGATTAATGGATATTAATTACTAACAGTTTGACTTGTCAATGTATGGACATAATTCTTTTATCATTACACTAGACGATCAGCTATTGGGTGAGTAAATATATTTTTCAAATTCATATTTTACAGAAAAATTATCTCAATTATTTAATGTAAGATGATCACATAATGTAGTGGATAGGATAAACTTAACACTGGCTACCTCAGTGATCTATAGGTTAAGTGTTTGCACGCTAAAGTCGGAGATCTGAGGTTTGAGTCTCGTATGATGAATAGCCAATGCTCATTTCTGAACAGTCTCATAATGAGACGAAACAGCCGTCCAATTCTTTTAGGTCTTCATTGATATCTAACATTGATTAGTTCATGGTCACAATTTATACTCAACAATCTACACAATCCTATATTTGATAACTATTTAATACTGCTAACGCTATTTAAAGTATGGTATAGTATTGATTATATATTTCAATATGTTTATTACAATTATTGAACTGAAGTAAAGTATTTCTAAGAGCTTCAAGTACTTTAACAATGAACCGATAACGTCCGTGTTTTTGATTGATATCTATGAATTATTAATTACAATATATTTCAGACGGTTTTTTTCAGCATTAGCGTAAGTGAATAGTATTCATTAGTTGTGTTTATTAATTCAAATATCCATATACCATTTGAAATACATTCTGACAAGTTTGTTTCTAAGCTATTCCACGACCATACTAGAAGGTATCAAATTCAACAGCTTTGATCATACATGTAAACAGTTAACCGATGGACCATTTCTAGCAACTATTCAACAATGTTCATGTTTAACTCCAATAAATATAAGTCTCATCGGTTTCATGAGGTCGAACTAACTGTGGTTATAAATCCGCACTGTTTGAGAAGTCATATACTAGAACAGAACAGCCATTCAAATCATCTAGACTTTCTATAGTGATCATATCACAATCAGAAACCTGGAAGCACTGAACGGCCGTTTAATCTTATTATAGGACTCCTAAGCAAAGCGCATCCACGATCCTACCGTCCAGTGCTTCCAGGTTTTTAATGGTGGTCCAGCTTCAAGTGACTCATGATGTAAACTATTAAAATTTCCACAATCTCCATAAAACCCCCTCTGTAATATTTAATTCAGTTTGTGATGTAAACTATCAAAACTCATATAATCTATTGAATTCATCCATGTTCATTCAATTCAATTACATTTTAAGATAGAATTGATATCCATCAATTTATTAATTAAGAGATGAATAGACAGTATTTAACATTTAAGACACACGTCCACTTTTTCCAGGTTTTCAATGAGGGTCTTATATGATTGGCGTTTTTTAGTAAGATTGTTTTCTACGAAATGAGATTGCTGACCTGATGTCCAGCCCCCCCCCCTCTTTTATCCGGTCTCGGGACCGACAATAGTCTTAGATAATCTAAAGACGGAGTTGAAAGTGATTTCATCATGAGGCAAATGCTAACGTGTAATTCTGAAGGTAAACACAAATGAGGGAGGCCAAAAAATATACTGAGTCGAGAATCGGAAGCAAACATGAAAAGTATGGATAACAACTGGAAACAACTAGAAAGGATGGCTCAGGACAGAGTTGGATGGAGAATGCTGTTGGGTGGCCCATGCTCCTCCATGAGGATAATAGTCATAAGTAAAACTAAGTTCAAACTAATCATCCGTAAATAATTCTGTAGGATAAATAATACACATACTCATGTAAACTGTACCACCAATCAATAATGAATCATTATTCCTTTTACCATATTCTCTAAATTCAATCAATGAAATACTAATATAAATTGTTATGTAACATTGGTGATACTTATTTTCTTCTATTTCTATTGGTTAAATCATTTCAGAACATTTGTTAACTTATTATGGTAGGTAGTCATTAATAATTTTACTTTAAATTTAAAATGACAAAATTTACCGTAGATATCCTTTATCTGCCATACAATGACAAATAGAGTACCAAATAAATGTCATATATTCCAAGTGGAACCATTTTAACAGTATCATTTTATAGTAATTGAGATTAACTTTAGCAAATTCCTGAAACATACATCTTGATTGTTAGTTGTTAATTCATATTCACTTGAATGTTTAATATCTTTCGGAAAGTTTGGATAATCATCGCTCCTTTCAGCCAAACAAGTTGGTGAAGACTAGTAGGCACATCTGGAGAGAAACAGGTCCCATCGAAGCACGGCGCAACTACCGGGATTAGAATAGCTGTTTTTGCAATCGATTAGAGTTTGCACCGTAGCGAGCAACCTCGTACATTCCATACAACACTTTTGTAGGAAGGACGACAGTTGTTCTTGTTGTTTTTTGATTCAAGAATAATTGTGATGTGATTCTTTGTGGATTTCATAATCAGTTCGTTAGCTGTTAAATGATAATAATTTGAATGTTTAAAATCTTTCAGTAATCTTAGATAATCATTAGTAATGTATAACTAATTCACTTATGCTTGTTGTAGTTTAAACAATATTCACTTTGTTTGGCTTTCTATTATAAACGTTATTTACAGTTTTCTAGATGGAATGTGGTAAGATGCGTTCGTCTATCTACGTTACAGAATATCTTTATCATATATGAGAATATCAGAAGGGGTTTTCGTGGATATTATACTAATTTTAATAGTTGTGATTATCAGTCAATAGATGCTAGATGACCACGGAAAACCTGGACGGCCGTTTCGTCTTATTGTAGGACACCTCAGAAGCGCGCATCCATAACCCCGCCTCGTGGGATTCGAACGCAGCACTTGTCAGTCTCTAGCGGAAGCGGTTAACTTCCACATCACTGAGCTGGCCGGCATCCAACGGTGTTAACGTATCATTTTAACTAATCCAAGGAATTCATCGACATATCCACCATCGTCTTCAGTGAGTTACTATCTCTCAACAGGCCGTCCAGTCCTTCCAAGTTTTTCATTGTGGTCTAGTATCAATTGACTCATGGTCTAAACTACTGAAATTCATGAGAATGATACATTGAATACTTCATTTGCAAATGTTTCATCCATTGTCCTTCACATTCTATATGATTCTTGTCATTCACTATTCTTTTTTAAATTCCGTTTCTGTTTCCTTTGACTCGATCTTCTTGACGTTCTGCCGTCGTGCATTCCAAATCCGATTTGTATTTATACTACTCATGCTTATGGACATAAGTAGTATACACCACAAAAAGACTACCTACATATTTAGAAGTCTAGTTACACTCTATATATGAATATATCTATCTATTTATATATCTATCTATCTATCTATCTATCAATCCACACATCTATCTATCTATCTATCCATCTATCTATCCACACATATATCTATCTATCTATCTATCTATCTATCTATCTATCTATCTATCTATCTATCTATCTATCTATCTATCTATCCACACATATATCTATCTATCTATCTATCTATCTATCTATCTATCTATCTATCTATCTAACTATTTATCTATCTATCTATCTATCTAACTATTTATCTATCTATCTATCTATCTATCTATTTATCTATCTATCTATTTATCTATCTATTTATTCATGCATTTCCATACTAATCACTTTTTTTTCCTGTTCTTTGCTTCTTGATATTCTCAACTATTTGCTGCCAGACATTCTATAGCTGACTAGTGTTATATACTACTTATGTCGATATAAGTAGTACACACCACACAGTAGAAACTGTAAAGAAACTAATTAAGCTTTATATATGTATTCGTCAATTATGGAAATCAATCGAAGATTTATGTTAAATAGATACACAGGTTACTTATATGCATTGTATCATTTATAATCAACCTTTTAATCCATATTTATCTTATATTTATAATAATTATTTGACTGTTCATAATGGATTTCAAAGTGATCTTTAACGTTTTATTCCTGAATAATATTAATCGTTTTTTTTCATTTCTAGGAATACTATACGAGGGTTCATTTATGAAGCTAATGCACTGACCAAATAAGGAATCAGGATGAACTATGAAACTCTGTACCGATTTCTTTATTATTCAAATCAATTTCTATAGTGATGTGTTATTTTTCATTTTGTTTAGAATAAAGCATATGAGTAAATGGGAAAGAACACTGAGATTAGAACATACGAACATATACTACGCTTTAATATTCCATTATATAAAATGTTGATCAGTACATTTTGGGAAAATAAGATAGATGACCCAATTTGAAGTCTTCTCATAGGCTTTAACTACTTGATCAAGGTTCATCAATTTAATTCATTGATTATGCACGTTAAAAAAGTACTAACATGAGGATAAGCATTTAGTTAGTACTGAATCATAGACTAAAATGAAAGTCTACCGGAAACTATATTGTAGGTAACGAGAACACAAGTGGAGATAATCAGATGTATTTGAACTCAAAATGACAGAACATCAAAGTCAAATCTGAGAAGCCTTAAGTAAATAATTCATTTGCAAAAAATCCATCAATCATCTCAGACTTCATTGTTTCTTCACTTCCACAGCAATCATTCTCGTGGTGTTGATTATTTGAAACTTTCCATTAATGTTTAGGACTGTAATTGACCAGTCTCTTATTGGTATATGTGCAACCTATGAGGATTGCCACAATATTGCCTTAGGTCACAAGCCTTATAAGTAAAGATGGATAGTAACTACCAATGGAATCCAGTTTGTTGCGCGTTTCATCTCATCAGATAGATGTTCCTGCACCTCAGAGTTGATGTTCACTATTTGCTTATAATGCTTGTGAATTAAGGCAATATTGAGGCAATATTCATAGGATGCACATATGCCAATAAGACGCTGATCAATTACAGTCCTAAACATCAATGGGAAATTTCAAAAAAAACAATACAAAAACGAATTAAAACTCCACTCCATTGCATAAGCAATTGGCCAGTACCAAGTGGACTCATTACCTATATAAATAACGTGATGGCGTTTGAAGCGAACGGTACTGGGCTAGAGTCTTGTTATGAACATGAACTCTGGAATGCAGATGCATCTGCACAGAAAGCACATATGCTAATAAGAGACTGATCAATTACATTCTTAAACATCAATGGGAAAGTTCAGAAAATCAATGCTAAAAATAAAATTACACGGATATGCTATGTTATGTATCAATGTTGAAAGGAATTGTTTCCAATGATAAAAAAGCCATGCACACTTATTTCAAATATCCTTATAAATTAAGTAGTGTGATTGATTGATCAGCTAAAGATAACATTTGACACAATTCTTTATTATCATCGAACATGGATATTCTATATAGACATCAATCAAATCAACAATTTGGCATGAATCGGTTAAAGTTAGACATTGGCAGAGTTCGGTACCGGCCGGCTCAATGGTTTAGAGTTTAAGTGTTCGCGCGCGAGAACGATAGGTCCTAGGTACAACTCTCGAGGTAGGGGGATCATAGATGTGCACCGCTGAGGAGTCCTATACTAAGACGAAACAACTGTCCAGTGCTTACTGGTTTTTCACGGTGGTTTGGCTTTAATTGACTCATGAATTCAACTACTAAATTTATTGTACGCATGAATTTACCCTGGCAATCCTTAAGTTATTTTATGGCTTAGAATAACGCTACATATCTTATTCTTTCTATACGATATTTGATTATCTACCCTATGATTAGTATAGAAAAGTAGATTTTTAAATTGGAAACAACATATGATCATATTCTTTGGTTCTTTTTAACTTAGATTTTCTATAAAGGGCAAGATCTACCATATAGCTTTGTATAATTCAACATACATTACAAAGTATCAAAATATTAGAATTAAGGCATTACATAACACTTCCATTGTGTAATTATAATGAGGTAGTTTTCATATGAAAGAATAGAAATGATTGAAGTCTGACCATACATATACGAACCCACTGGACATTATTCCTTGAATTACATACAATGTATTCCAAATATGTTATTCAAACAAATCTTTGCTATGATAAACTTCATAGATGTCCTAATGATAAAAAGTGAATGTTTCATATTAATCAATAAAAATGATATCTTCTTCGGGAAATCTTTCATTTTGTTTTAAAAAAGAGATTCAAGCGAGACTATTAATTTATGAACGACTTTTGAACGAACCTTCAGTGAACTTGAGAAAGATTAACCAATCAGAAAACAGTTAGTATAAAGTTAAAATATATGATACAAAACTAGAGAATGAAAGTGAATACATTTCATTTACATGGTTCAGAAACTTGTCAAGGTTAGAAAGTGGTTCAGAGGTTATGAAATCATAATGCATACGGTAGAGGATATCAACCATATGACTCCATCATAGTCGGCCTCTGAAGTCATGATAAGGTTGAGAAAACTCTTTCAGCCTCGACCATATAGCTTCAATATTGTTAGTGTGTAGTCCGGTTGTTTGTTCAACAAAATACCACTTGTGAATAACGACACGATGCATATCAACAAGTCCATGCAGCTATCTGTACACTCTCCAATCATCCGTATATATTGTAGTACCCGGTAGCAACCAATGCTACCGTTATCTTTGTTATACAGTTCGTAACAATTATTATAATTTTCTTTAGTTTGAATATGAATTAAAGGGAGAAGTTCATATTCGAGCAGATTTCTTCCTCCAACATATATTACATTGATAGACAACATCATCACGGTAGTTCGCAAAAGGTTCAAAAGTCATTCGATTACTACCATCACAAATAAAAGCACTTCTTAATAATCCCATTTGTTGTAATTGCTCAATTATAAGGTTTTCGCTAAAATCCACTGTAAACCGATCGTACGTAAGTATCAGGTACTGAAATTGGTACCCTGAACTTGAAATTCCTCAAACGCTTCTGATTGGCTCGTTCATAAATTATGTTCTCACCAATATTCAGAATATCGTGGATTTAACAGACTCAATATTGTTTTCTACCTTTAGTATTGATAATTAGGAAAGTAAGGATGAACTTAATAAGTGAACAATATTTAGTTAGTTATGAATGTGGGGTTGTGGAGATTGTTGAGTTTTGATTAAGATCATGAATGGATAACATTCGACACAATTCTTTATTATAATCGAACAGGGGTATTCAATATAGACATCAGTTAAATAAACAATTTGTCATGAATTGGTTGGAGTCAGACATTAACACAGTTCGATATAGGCCGGCTGAATGGATTACAGGATAAGTGTTCGCTCACGAGACCGATAGGTCCTAAGTTCAAATCTCGTGAGGCAGAATCGTGGATTCGCACTGCTGAGGAATCCCGTAATAGGACGAATAGAAATGATTTAAATCTATCCATATACATATACTTATCCGAAAAAGAAAATCTAAATGTTCGTAAACGAACCCACTGGAGATTATTCCTGGAATTGTATACGATGTATTCCAAATAATGTAGTCAAATAAATCTTTGTTATCATAAGGTTCATAGATGTCCTAATTATAAAAAGTGAATGTTTCATATTAATCAATAAAAATCATGTCTTCTTCGGGAAATCTTTCATTTTTTTAAAAAAGAGATTCAACCGAGACTATTAATTCATGGACGAACTTTGAACGAACCTTCAATGAACTTGAGAAAGATTAACCAATCAGAAAACAGTTAGCATAAAGTTAAAATATATGAAACAAAACTAGAGAATGAAAGTGAGTGCGTTTCATTGACATGGATCAATAACTTGTCAAGTTTTAAAAGAGGTTCAGAGGTTCTGAAATCATAATGCATACGGTAGAGGAAATCATACATATGACTCCATCATAGTCGGCCTCTGAAGCCATGATAAGGTTGAGAAAACTCTTTCAGCCTCGACTATATAGCTTCAATATTGTTAGTGTGTACACCGGTTGTTTGTTCAACAAAATGCTACTTGTGTATAACGAAACGATTCATATCAATAAGTTCATGTAGCCATATGTACGCTCTCCAATCATGCGTATATATTGTAGTACACGGTAGCAACCAGTGCAACTGGTACCTTTGTTATACAGTTAGTAACAATCATTATAATTTCCTTTACTTTCAATCTGGATTGAAGGAAGAAGTTCATATTCTAGCAGACTTCTTCCTCCAACATATATTACATTGGTAGACAACATCATCACGGTATTCTGCACAAGGTTCAAAAGTCATTTGATTACCATCATCACAAATAAAAGAATTTCTTAATAGTCTCATTTGTTGTAATCGCTCAATTATAAGGTCTTCGCTAAAATTCACTGTGAACCGATCGGACGTGAGTATCAGGTACTGAAATTGGTACCCTGAACTTGAAATTCCTCAAACGCTTCTGATTGGCTCGTTCATAAATTATATTCTCACCGATATTCAGAATACCATTAATTTAACAAACTCAATACTGTTTGCTACCTTTAGTATTGATAATTAGGAAAGTAAGGATGAACTTATTTATTAAGTGAACAATATTTAGATAGTTATGAATGTGGGGTTGTGGAGATTGTTGAGTTTTGATCGAGATCATGAATGGATCAATGTTAGGCCATCACTGAAAGCCTGAAAGTATTCGATGACCGTTTCGTTCTAGTATGGGACTTCTGAGCAGTTCGCATCCACGATCCCATACCAAATGTGTTTGAACCAACGGCTTTCAGTCTCGCGAGCGAATGCTTAACCTCTATACCACTGAGCTGACATCTAAAGGTGGTAATGTTTCACATCAACCAATTACTTAACTGTCCTCTATTATCGTCGTGAATAACTGTCTCACATCAGATACGGTCGAATTCAACTGGTCACGGCTTCTCACTAGAACTCTGATAACCACTAGTGAGCGTATGATGATGATCACTATAAGGCTGTGGATATTGTCGAGGTTTAATTGAGACCATACTTCAACGTTTTCAATGGTGAAATGAAATGATATGATATCTGAAACATATTCTTCGCTATGAAACTTTTCTTTTACAACATCAAACGTACAATTAACTTCAGATATCGTAATGTGTAATGTTTGAAAGTAAACTACTGTAGCAGAGAACAAATCAGATTCCAATGGAGGAAGAAATCAGGAAGAAGCGCTAGAAGTAAACAGGAGGAACACACCCAACTGCAGCACAAGGCAAACCTTCACTTGAAATCCTCAAGGCCAAAGGAGAAGAGGAAAACCAAAGAACACATTACTTCGAGAAATGGAGACAAATATGGAAAGAATAAATAACAATTAGATAGAACTGGAATGGTAGGCCACGGACAAAGTAGGTCGGAGAATGCTGATCGGCGGCCGATTCTCCACAAGGATTAACATGCGTAAGTAAGTAATGTCTGATAGGCTTAAAATAAGATAAACACCAATGCAATCACCCCCTTTGTATAAAGTACTTTTAGATGATGTAATCTATTGTAAAACAGTGATTATTTATTCATTCAACTTAAAATGATTTAGATTACAATGATTCAAACAGACTTTGAAAATGGTCATTTCAGTCAACAGGCTTGTTGTCAAAACATATGACAATATATCTGAGTGATTTGTTTATTTATTTATGTAACTATGTTGTATTGTATGTTTCAACCTGATAATGGGTGGAGTAAATGATTTAAATATTTTTAAAAATCTTATTCAATACTACTTTTATAAACAAAGATGGATAATGACTAGTAGTGGAATACACACCTCACGTTTCGTACTATTTGAGACTCATCAACTGGATGTACCTGCATTCCAGAGTTGATTTTCATTACGAGAATCTAATTCACTACCATTCTATTAAAACGCTATTGCTTTATTCACTTAGCTACTGAGTCCTGACAGCCACTTGCTTGTGCAATGGGGTAAAGTTTAAATTCATCTGGTGTTGTTTTACTGGTATCTTCCCATTGCTATTTAGGACCGTAATTGATCAGTCTCATGTAGTCGTAAAGCATTCTGTTCAAGTTGTCTCGATATAGGCTTACGTCACAAGCCTTTCAAGCAAAGATGGCAAACAGTGGAATCCAGGATGCGCGTTTCGTCCATTGCAGAGATGTTGGTTTGCTATTCACTTCTCAAACATACCTATAAAGGTGAATGATTTGAACGAAAAAACTATAATGATTTTCATGGGCCTTGAAAACACAGATACATGATTCAATTGGATCTAGACCAACATGGAAAACTTGGAAGCACCGGACAGTCGTTTCGTTCCATTATGAGACTCTTCAGCAGTGCGCATCCTCCATCCCAACCCATTGCAAATTTCGGACACAGGGCTTCTGGTTTTGCGCGCGAGTGCTCAATCTCCAGACCTTTAGGTCGGTATGCAACTGTGTCAATGTCTAACTTTAACTAATCCCAAAATCACGCAACCGTCCACCATTGTCTTCACTGAGTTACTATCTCACAAGTGACTTGTTTGAACTCTACTGGTCACGGCTTCTCACTAGGACTCCAGGAGTTACTTACAATATCCACAAGACCCTTCTTCAAATGAAATATGTTAACATTAGAGTGCTATGCTTATTTCAAAATCCATCTGGTGAATTATAAATGAATGTAGCATGTAAATGATCTAAACTATTATGAATTTGACTTTTGAAGATCAAATCAGAAATAGTTGAAACGTTGAAACGTTCTAGGATTATCCAATAAGCTCAAATCTTTCTTATTCATCTATGAACAAAAACAAATCAGGAGAGTAATCATTTTACTGGGGCTTACTTATTATGCTCCAATTATGGCCCCACCTTGCTCTCAAAATTAGTAACTGACTTAAGGTCAATTTTTTGTTTCAATTCATGCAAACATAGAAAGTTATGAAAAAACGTTGGTTATTCAATGGATTATCAATATAGGGTTGTGGAGATGATTAAGTTTTTGATTGAGATCATGAACCGATTGAAGTTGGTTCACTATTGAGATCCTGTAATAATCTACACAACCGTATACTGATAATTACCATGTGCTCACTAGTGACCAGCTTCCTCAGCGAATATTCGAAGTTCTAGTCAGAAGCCGTGACCAGTGGAGCTAATCCGTGTCAGGTAGAGACAGGTATCTACCTCAGTACAAAGGAAGATGGTCGCGCAATTTCGTGGATTGGTTGAGGTTAGACATTAATACCGCTGGATGTCGGCTCAGTAGTCCAATAGATTAAGCGTTCGTGCGCGAGACTAAAGGCCCTGCGTTCGAATCCCGCGAGTGGGATCATGGAAGCACACTTCTAAGAAATCCCACAATAGGACAGAATGGCTGTCTAGTGCTTTCAGGTTTTCAATGGTGGTCCAACATCAATCAGTTCATGATATGAATCATAGTATTCAATGGATTAATTATGAAATTGTTAGAAAGGTATATTGAATACATTATTTCTATTGATGATGAAAGAATAGCGTCCCAATGAATTCACATACATTCACAATTCATATGGAACAATCAAAAATCTACTAATGACAGTATCAGACACTGTGAAGTATAGATTGACATCAAAATTGAGAACTGAGGGTCAATAGATTTTTGATTTCCATTGAAAACCTGGAAGCACTAGATTAGTACACTGGAATAAATCAATCTCCACAAGTCCCCCTACTGTTCATAATCGTGTACTTGCTAGTGACTAGCCTGAAGATAGATTTCCTGCCTACCTAATGGTATATATGTTATGTGTCCGCACGCGAAACTGAAGGCTCTCGGCTCGAATCCTGAAAACAGGCTCCTGGATGAGCACTGCTGAAGAGTCCCATAATAGGACGAAACAGTTGTTCAGTGCTTCAAATGACTCATGATCTCAATTATTAAAATAAATATTGTTTCGTTTAAATTTCTATAAGGAATCAATCACTTAAAATATCTATTAATGTCTATCAGAGTAACGTAGGGTGTGACATACATTGACAATAAAACAATGAAATTTTTGATAATCCTTTATCTATTCAAACTCTGAACTTCTATTCGTCTACTGAAAAACAACGAAACAGTCTACATTTACGTGTAAATCTCTGAAGGGGAGGAACTATTAAAGTCAATAGATAGTAATCATTACTTGGGGTTATAGAAGGCGTAATTGATTTTGACGCCTATATACTATAAATTGTTTACATTGTTTACTGATTAAACCAATTAAATAACAGTATTGATTGATTGATTGATTGATTGATTAATTAAAACATTTATAGACATAAAAGTACCATTATTTCAATTGATAAAGTTCTTAGAAATATCAATATCAAAGTTTATTACATAATTCGTACAATTTGTTATCAATAGACCCTATCAAATCAATGATTACATTGATCATCATTTCAATTTTTCTAATACAGTCATGTTATTGTGGTTCATCTGGTTCTCCAAAACAAGAATGTAAAAGTATGTATGTTATATTAAGTATTCAATTGTTATTCATATCATGGAAAATCTTAAAGCACTGAACGGTGATTTCGTCCTGGTGTGAGACTCCTCAGTAATAAACATCCACAATCTCACATATCCACTGTTGAGGAATCACACAATGGGACGAAACGGCCATCCAGTGATTTCAAGTTTTTCATGCTAATCTAGTTTCAATTTACTTATGATCTGAACTATTGAAATTACTATAATATACATAAAAAACCTCTTCTACTATTCATTTATTATCATTTGGTTAACATGTAAAATTAATTATGTCACCATTCACAGAAGAGAAGTAAGTTTAATATTTCACATTATGTTTTTGTATCAAATAAGAGTTTTTGTAAAATATAAAAATAATGTTACTTTTATTCAAAATATTATCATATTAATCTTTATGGAGATAATTATAAATTGAAGGATCAAGTCAATGAATAACAAACCAATCTACTTGATCGTTGAAATCATGATTAGATTAAAGTTAAACCATCATGGAAAACCTCGAAGATCTGGAAAGTCGTTTTGTCCAAGCGTGAGACTCCCTTGCAGTGCATATCTACGATCCCCTTCAATGGGATTCGAACCCAGTACCAGGTTACCAGTGACCACATGATCATTTAGAGTTTGTGGTTGTACACATTGTTCAATTGTATTGAGTTGATGAAGTGATCAATGTGAGTGCAGTGTTGAGAAGCTGAAAGAATTGAGTAGTCGATTGTTCCTAACTGTTATGTAGTGTGTATTAACCATCACGCACTTGCCATTCCAACCAAACATTGTGGATGTGACGAGCAAACACTTAAAGCATCTTTGTAAATCCTTTGTTTTTGAAGACAAACAAATGATGACATGTCAGATGCAAATTTGTCACTAAGTCATTTAAGAAAACATGATCAATTTACCCCTGATTCTTCTGTATGACAATGTAGATAGGTTTAATTTAGCCAGTTGAACACCATATGGCAACTATGCTACTTCAGGAATCAGCTTAGTTAGTGTTCTTTGAACCTTTTGCAATAGCTCACTGTCTCATTTTATGAAGGAATATAAATGTTTGTATGTAGTGATTGAGTTTACAATGAACAAAAACTAGATACATATATAATTAAAGCTTATGTATTGTATTTGATCTTTGAATTAGATGATATGAACAGATTAATTTCCTAGTAGAGAAACATTCTCTTTGTAAATTGACTATTAATCTACCTTTCAAAAGGGGTTTCTTTGGGTAAGTGAATATATTTTTTTAATTTAATGAATGTATTCAATGAGAACACAAAAGTGGAGACAATTGAATGTATATAAATACATGCATGTAAACATAAAAGCTTGTTGTATTGTATTAAAGGAGAGCACAAGTAGAGACAATCGAATGTATATGAATACACAATTACAGAATCTCTTACTAAAATCTAAAAACTATACTGTAAAATGTCAGTCAATCGTCGAAAACTTGACTCTCTCTTCATTTCTACATCAATTACTCTGTATTCTCATTCTCTTATCCGCGATCTTCTTAACCTTCTGCAACCAGATATTTCACTTTCGATTACTGATACATATACTACTGATATTTATTGGTATCAGTAGTACACATCACATTATGTAATTTGAGAAAATGTAGATTATAAACGGTTCATTTTAATGAATTCAAAGTTTATCAACTTTAAAACTGGGAATGTCAACTTTATACTATTCAAATGAGTTGATTCTTCATTTTAACATGTTGATATATTGAGTTTATAGTGTATACCTTTTAGGTGTTTTGGGGTTTATTTGAATTAACCATCAATGACTCTATTTTCTTCTGAATTCATTAAATACAAGGAAACTTTGGTCAGCAATTGAGTGAGTAACCGTTAAAAAGTAATATTGATATTTACGTTTGTTATTGATAAACACTGTTGAAATCAATAGTTTTCATTCTTTTTTGACACCAATACAAACTCCACAGCTTAATGAATAACGCGATGGCGTTTGAAGCGAATGATACTTAGTTCGAGTCCCAGAGTGAACATCAACTTTGAGATTTAGGTACATCCAGCTGACGAGTCCTAAATAGGAGGAAACGCGTGTCCTTGATTCCACTACTAGCCACTATCCATCTTTACTAATAATGCTTGTGAATTAAAGCAATATCAAGGCATTATGCACTGTATTCTCATATGCCAATAACAGATTGGTCAATTGCAGTGCTAAACACCAATAGGAACATTCAAATAAACCCTACCAAGTGAATTTCAACTTTTTTGGGTTTAGCTAGAATGTTAATGATTAATTGTAATTCTGTTATGATTTAGTTGAATATTGAGTAATATGAACTCTGATGATATGTTTCCTTCAGAAGGATATCAACAGACAAAAGATGAAGTCATCCATTAATATTTCGTCAAACTGTTCTATTGAACTTTTATTATTTCCAACTAAATGGATGACTTCCAGTGTGTTGATGAATATTTGTTTAGTGGTAAGAATACTGTAACAAGAAAATTATACCTGATATTTAGGAATGTTAGAATTATCAGTATGAGGACTTGTGAAGACTGAAGTGTATTCACAGTCGAAATCACTAGTTTATCTAAACTGGACCACTAGTGAGAAGCTAGAAGCATTGAGTGGCCATTTTGTCCCAGTATGGGACTCCGCAGCAGTCTACATCCACGATCTCGCATCCGGCTCAGTGATTTAGAAGTTAAGCGCTCTCATCCCAAACTAAAGATCCTCAGTTTGAGTGTCAAGTGTTGAATCGTGGATGCGTATTGTTGAGGAGTTTCATACTAGGACGAAATGGCCGTACAATGCTTTCAAGTTTCCAATGGTAATCAAGCTTAGATCGATTAGTTAATTCAACTATGAAAATATTAGAATTGTCTGTTCATGTCTATCTAAGATTAGATTGAACTGATGTCCAGATTGTGTTGTTCATTATATCCAAACGTTCATACGTTTGTACAACATGACAGTCAGTATGCTTCTAACTCAATCATTTGCTGTGTTAAAACCAACTATCTTCCAATTGGTTTATTTAAACTAGAACCATTATTAGCTTCATTTGGTAAGTTGAATTTACAATGGGAACGGTTTTGGTATAACTTATTAGTTCAATAAGTGCTTCAGTAAAGTGCAGTTAACATATTTATACTTGTTACTTCTCGTGGAGATACACAGACTATACGCCAGCATTTTCCATCGAATGCTAAACAACGTTAAAATAAACTTTACTTGGTCATTTATATTCAGATATTATTCTAATTTTTAATCAACGAAATATAATTTATGTATTTATTATTTGAACACATAAATATTGGTACAAGCGGGCACCAGATACATATGCGTTACACAAACCTCATTTGGTTTGTGCGAGGGCTGTGATACTGCCCGGGTGCCCAAACAGAAGCAGGTTGTCTTCTTATGGACCACACTCGGAGCCTTGGACCTAAAGGTTTGTCCCACAAGGCAGTGGAGCATCGTAAAGAAATACAGTCCTATGGTAGCTGGTGACCAACGCTAGATTCATACGCTACTTGTTCCCTCAGGATTCTGGAGCCCAAGTACATCATTGGTTTGAAATCAGGGATTTCCAACGCGTCTAGGTAAAGCGTCCATGTCCAACAACCAGGTTAAAGCGCTGGACCTTCGCGTTTTGCCCTTTCAATTCGTAAACATCACCCCGGTCACGAAAAGGCATTGAGTAGGACTTCCCTGGGAGAGGCTATATGCACGTGGCCATGTAAGAGCATTTCGAGAGGGAGAGTGGACTCTCCCTACTACTATTTACTGTAATACTGAACATATTCGATATATGTACAAAGAGACAGTGTCAATCAACTGGACAGCCTTCGGTATTGTAGTAAACGAGAACACAAGTGAGCACAACCAAACGTATTTGATTTCAAAATTACAATATGTCTTAGCGAAATCTCAGAACCATACAGTCAATATTACATTTGTAAAATGTTAATCAATCGTGTCATACTTGATTGTTACTTCATTTTCACACCAATCATTCTCTGTTCTCGTTCTCTTTTCTTCGATTATTTCAACCTTCTGCCTCTAGATATTTCATTTTCGATTGATGATACATACTACTGATATTTGTCAATATTAGTAGTATATATCAAAGTATAACTAAAGCATGGTCTATTTAATATTCCAAACAAAATTCCATAGTTATATATGCTTATAAACCAATGTCACAGGTTTAAGATAATTTGTATCTATTTGAAATTCAATTGCCTATTCTTTTAAACAATTTATAATTTACTAGAATGGGTTTTGTGGAGAATCGGTAATTTCAATAGTTGAAATCATGAATCAATTGAAGCTAGACCACCATGGAAAATCTGGAAGCACTGGACGGCCGTCTCGTCCTAGTATGGGACTTGTCAGCAGTGCGCATCCACGATCCCGCACCCCGCGGGACTCGAACCCAGGACCTATCAGTCTCATGCCAGGCGCTTAACCAACTAGACCACTGAGCCGGCTGGCATCCAACGGTGTTAATGTCTAACTTCAACTAATCCACGAAGTTGCGCCACCGTCACCATTGTCTTCAGTGAGCTGATATCTCACAACAGACCTGGTTGAACTCCACTGGTCACGGCCGTCCAGTGCTTCCAGGTTTTCCATGGTGGTCTAGCTTCAATTGATTCATGATTTCAACTATTGAAATTTATAATTTGTAGCTTTTTAAATGGAATCTGGTAAGCAAATGTAATTCATTTTTAACACATATATACATCAATCATTCTAGTTGTTAATTTGATCAATCTAGTTATTGTTTTCCTAATAAAATTTTTTTTCCTACGGCATGGGATTGTCAACCTTATACTCAAACCTCCTACGTTATTTGAGCTTGAAAGTTACATTAACTGTAGAAAAAGTACAGACAGAAATCACTCATCTGTATTATGAAGCAAATGGTCACTTGGAATTCTAAAGGGAAACGGTGAAAAACGAATATCGAAGAACACACTAAGAATTAAAAATAAATATGAAAAGGATGAAGAATAATAATGGTTAGCCTATGCTCCACCACAAGGAGTGACAGGCTGAGTTAGTATGTAAGTAAGTAAATAATCAAGTAAGTAAGTAAGTAAGTAAGTAAGTAAGTAAGTAAGTAAGTAAGTAAGTAAGTAGCCCCAACAGTTACATTCTAATCAAAACTCTTTTAATAGTCATGTAGAGTAAAAAAAAATTAAAAATATTTGGAAATGTACAAGGATAAAGCAAATTTTAATACTTCACGCATCAACTACTTTATCGAAACATTGATTGGTTGATTAAACTTCAAATGGATATTAAAAGTGTTTTCAATATAGAATATTATTATTTAATTTTTATATCAATACCAATCGATATGAATTAAAAACATGATATTTTAAAGCATAGCAACTAATTAAATTATTTCATTTATTTGTTTTTTCAATCCAATCCAATCAATCAATAAAGTTTGATTATTGATTTGAATATATTCAACGTAATTATTTATTATTGTTCTTCTGTAAATCGATAATTTCTGTTTCTTTTAGGAATACGGTAATGGAGTGGCGTAACTTTTTTAATAATACTACGCTTGCAGCCAATGCTTCGAAGTGAGACTCCAACATTTCAATAAAATTATGAAACCAATCAATAAATGTTTAAAACTTCATTGTATATTCTTCACTTAACCATAGTGTTGTGCATTACATTTTGTGCACAAATACAAGATGACTATTTTTTGTAATAGCATGTTTCTTTCTTTAAGTTTGCGCAATTTTTTCACAAAACTATACTGATAATTACCTTGTGCTTATTAGTGACTAGCTTTGTCTGGAAATTGTTCGGGGTCTAATGAAAAGCGATGACCAGTGGAGCTAATCTGTGTCGGATAGAGACAGGTATCTATCTCAGTACAATGAAAGATGGCTGCGAAATTTCATGGATTGGTTGATGTTAGACACTAACACCATTAGATGTCAACCCAGTGGTCCAATAGAATAAGTATTCGCGCGCGAGACTGAGGGGGCTAGAGTTCAAATCTCGCGGGTGAGATCGTGGATACACAATAGGACGAAATGGCCATTCAGTGCTTTAAGGTTTTCAACGGTGGTCTAACATGAATCGGTTCAAGATGTCAATCAAGAACAAAACCAAATACTGAATCTAAAAAGATATGTGAGATTTATGAAGTGAACAAGAACTCAGGTGGGAATAAGCGACCTTTTGTGGTGAACGAGAATACAAGTCGGCACAATTGAATGTATTTTAGCACAACATTACAGAACAACTTAGTAAAATCTGAGATTGATACAGTATATACTTAATTTCCAAAGTGTCAATTAATTAGTTCAGACTTAATTGTTCCTTCGTTTTCATACTAATCGCTTTTTGTTCCTGTTCTTTTCATTTTGATCTATTTAATCTTCCGTTACCAGATATTCTATTCCAGACTAGTGTTGTATACTACATATGTCAATATAAGTAGCACATACCATAATACTATTTAATGCAAAATTAAAGAGTTCTTTCATAACATGTGGAAAACCATACATTAAATAATTGACTTTCACATCTACCATCAATTATCTTTTACATCCTTCATGATTCTTACAATTCTCTTTTTTCTGCTTTCTTCATTGCAATCTTCTCAACCTTCACAATTGATTGATCACTGGGTGGTGACCATTGTCATGCGTGTCTAGTCCTTATTATTAGTGCACGAAACCCGGGTCCAGAGTTTTCTGTCGACTACCTCCAACCACCATCTAATTTTCTCAACCTTCTTTTGATATGAGTTCCACTTTTGATCGGTATTACATACTACTTATATCTGTCGATATAAGTAGTACTCACAACATGTATGATGAATACGTTTTTGAAAAATTAAGTGACACCGAATTCAAAAACAATTCCCGCTCTTTTATAAGTATTTTTGTAAACATTTATATAGTATAACCCATTTATACTCGCTTCAACTGATCAAAATCAAACAATTATAAGCAAAGATGAATGGTAGCTAGCATTTGAATCCAGTACGCGTATTTCGTCCTATTATAGGATTCGTCAGCTAGATAAACCTACAATCTAGAGTTGATGTTCACTCCAGAACTTGAACAGAAAATCAAAACGCGTTCAATGTGTATATGAGTAAGACAAGTGCAAAGGAAATGCATAAATTGTTTTCGCACAACAAATTTATGTGGATTATTGAAAGTACAAATAGGTTTAATAAAGTGTTACAAGAAAACTATCTTGATAACAATAAGATTATTAATACAAAGCAATATAAAAAAGAATATCAAACAAATTTATGAAGATTCTATTTGTTCAGGTCATTGAGGTCGTCCGAATAACTAAGATTGTTCTTCGAATGTCTTCTCAAATGATCATTCCTATCTGTTCCTTCTGTCTAGGACTGATAATTTGAAGAGGACATTCAAAGAAAGTTCAAAAATCGAGATCAAATCGTCTACTTCAGGAGTTTCGTTTCTTGCACCAAGTACTAAATGACTGTAATGTTGCACTGGAACACGCAATATCAACAACTTCTGTTGATATATACATAGCAAGATCGAACCTACAGGATTAATATAAGTCGATAGACATTTTATTCTTATTACTGAAGATTGAACAATTAGAGTGTATGTCAATGACATCAACCGATTTAAGTAGTATGTATTATCAATCAAAAGTTGAATACCTGGCAGCAGAAAGTTTAAAAGATCGAAGAAAAGAGAACTAGAACAGTAAATCATTGCTGTGAAAATAAAGGAAAGATGAAGTCTGAAACAATTGAGTAACATTTTGCAAATGAAGTATTTACTGTACAGTTCTCAGATTTTACTAAGAGATTCAGTTGTTCCCACCTATGTTCTCGTTCACAATAAGTCATTGTAACGGTTAAGCTCTGAGATAATTTATTACGTTTCGATTATCGATTCCCCCTGATAACCGTTAATAAACAAATCCAAATAGTGTATAAATTCAGAAGAAAACACAAAACGCCGAGTACATATCATTATCGAATAGCGCAGATAACGAATTTTACAAGTACAGAAAGCGAATTTGATCAGAAAAGCAAAAACGCGTGAACGAGCTAGCAAGAATATACAAAGGCGAATTCAGAGGTCAAGCGAAACAAGGCAAAGCAATTAGTAATATCCAAGAACATATATATGTGAAAATGAATTGTATATCGAAGGACATTCAAGCGACGAAAATTTAAGCACGAGTGAGGGATAATATGGGTAGGCTGTTCCATGTGATCAATAATACATGTTTATACAGACATGATTGTGATAATAATGATAATAGTGCAATAATATAGACAAATTATTACTGTGGATTATTAAAGTGATTAGAATCGATTACATATTCAAGGATAGAACTCCTAACCGCTTTACCTCCATCTTTTTAAAACTACAATAGTTGAAAGTAGTTGTTGTCTAGTGCCTTTGTACCTTGCTCCACAAAAGGAGGTGAAATGGTATATGCACATAGAATGAAATAATTGACTGACATTCGCTGCAGAAAAGTTTCCTCTTCAGCTGGGATTAAGAAACCGACTGTTGCGCTTACAACTGACTGATCACTGGGTGGTGACCATTGTCATTTATGTCAGGTCCTTCCTAACGTCGATGTGACTCGATATTGCGTGCACTATGTTGAGATATAGTGTTGCTTGGATTTAGTCAAAAAAAAACTCAAGACCCGGATCGCGTGCTATTTGGAACTCGTCAGCAAGGTGTACCTGTAATCCTGAGTAGACTGATGATCCTCCATGGATTCGATCCCGTGTCCCCAAGCGGCCCGGATAGCCCAATGGTTATATCACAGACTTTAAAGCTGAAAATCCATTAGGGATCATCAGTTCCCTTGAAAATAATACTGGTACACCTTGCTGACAAGTGCCAAATAGCACGAAACCCGAGTTCACGGTTTCATGTTGACTCTCTCCAACCATCATCTTACGCTGACTATTTTTAAATGATCTTGTGTGTATTAATTGCTCGCGTGTTTGTAATTTACTTTCGTATGACTTGATATGGTTCACTAGCTATCTCTGCTGAGTGTCACTTCGTTTCATCTTGCTTCCTCCAATTTGTTCCCTTATTGTCTATCCAGATGAATAGCTATATGAAATATACATATTCGAAATTCGTCCTCGCATGTGTTTTATTCTGTTATTATGTGATTCAAATTAAGTCGATAAAAATACACGAGGGTTAGCGGTATTTATATTTCGATAACAATTAGCGAACCATTTGATCAGAATCAGATAAAAGACCACTTGATTCACAAAAATAAATGTTAGGAAGATCTAGGAAATCCCTCGAAAAAAGCCAATACAAGGCTCTGAGAAACATGTTATCCAATCAGAAACATCCAGAAAGTGAAAAGTCACATGTTGCTTCTCCGATTCGATGTTTACTTATAATGTTAATATGTCTGCTGGCGTTCCGGAAGCCAAAGGCCATCTTAAATGCTGTCAAAACCCTGAGCGTTTTTTTCCATATTTTACGCCTTTGCTCGATTGTTTGAATCGCTGCGTAGATTTAGCCTGGTGGTTACTAGAAGAGCTTAGGAACCGAATCTAGCATTCAATTAGAAGACTTATCACTAGAACAGTATGCAGTTATATGGACACAAATTACAAGTCCTATTCCAAGTTGAAGTACATGTCTTTGAATGTTCACAAGGAGAACAGAACAAATAGAATCATTTACATCCATAATATATTAAAATAATTGCGAACATAATAACAAATAGTTATAACTGTTGACCTAATTTGATAGATTCATAAATGTTAAAGATAATGGAAGTTGTACATTTCACCACCATGATGATAAAATTCCTTTAACAGTTTCCCTAAAGATCGGGAAAAAAGAAATAAAACAAATCAATACTCCTTGGTCAAGAGGTCTAAAGTCAAACGAATAAAGGGTTTCCTGTATATTATAGTTTTTTAATAGTTGAATTCATGAGTCATCTAAAGCTAGACTGCCATGAAAAACCTAGAAACGCAGGACGGACGTTTCGTCCTAGTATGAGACTCCTTAGCAGTGAGCATCCAAGATTACTACCTTGCGAGATTCGAATCCAGGACATACCAGTCTTGCGTGCGAGCGCTTAACAACTAGACCACTGAGCCGGTTGACATCCAACGCTGTTAATAACTAGCCTTAACTAATCCACTAAATCGCGCCACCGTTCACCATTGTATTTAGTGAGTTGCTGTCTTACATCAGACCCAGTCGTAATCCTCTGATCACTGCTTCTCACAAGAACTCCAAGAAGTACTTCTTGAAGCCAGTCAGTTCTGAGGAGTCTCACGTTAGTACGAAACGGTCGTCCAGTGCTTCCAGGATCTCCATTATCGTTTAACTTCAATTGACTCATGAACTCAACTAATGAGTAGGTATACGTTTAAAGAATTATTCATCACACATTTCAGCATAAGAACGTACCAGAATGAGAAAACGGTGCTGTGAAACAATAAATTTGTTTTATATACAATTAGATTGTTTATCATCATTTTATTAGATACAGTCAGTACAGATTTGAGACTCTTATTGTTTCAGATAATTCTGTGAGAAAATTTGTATCCTAAGCATCCAGTTAACCAATTGGTTATACAACTTACCATTCTTAACTTATTCTTGATTTATTAGTTGCATTCTGTCACACTCACAGGCAGTTAAAGACTGATCTTGTATAATTGTTAAATTTTACAGTTGCATTCACTACTCCATCTAATCTACATCATCATTGAAGACCAGAGAACATTTGATGA